TGTGTTAAAAAAAAAAGTAATATAAAAATAAAGAAGCAAAAAAAAAAATAAAAAAGGAAAACATTTTTTAAGTCCCCGCCCCCCACATACACATGTAGATATGCGTCGGGTGCGCCTACGTGCGAAAACGACGATTGCGCCTATTGTGCCGCACATGTTACATATCGCTGCAAATGTCGCAATGAGAGCAATAATTCTAGAGCCATTAATCACTGATAACACTAAAGTGATGAGCAGTAAAAGCATTTTAATCGTCGCGTATGGGCGTTTTTTGCGCACGCAGTTTTAAGGCTTGACATGTTTGGTGTCTATTTACCCGACGTGACCCCGACTTTTATGTTTTACTAAAAATATGGGTAAGAATAAATGTTTTATAACATAACGTAGGGAAACTTTTTTTTAAATATATTTATGGTACTTTTTTCATTATATAGTAAAAAAAAATAACCCCCCCGTGGGGTCACAAAAGAAACCTCTATCTGTCCCCAAAATGTTTTAACATATATTGCAAGGCTATAGTCAGGTCATGCTGACTGGTGAAATTTTTGACTGACTGGTGAGACACCGCCAAATTTTTCAAGCCCTGCACATCAGTGTTTATTCATCCTTTCCATTCTTTATACATGATTATCCATATTGTACCAAGGAAAAAATATGTTAAAGTGGACCTTTACACATATCTTTAAAATAACAACAAATAAACCTTTAGAAATGTTTAGTAATCTACAAAAACATACTTAATAATGATAATAGCCGTTTTTTTATTCTTTGCATGCCTTATTTCTTTTCCTCCCCATTCTTCTCACAGTGGCCATTTTTACTAAGGGGGGATTAATCTATCTCCCTTTACTTCCTGGTACTCTGGCACATGTGACAAGGACATGTGACCATGCACATCATCTCCGGGGAGGAAAATGCCTTTCCCTGAAATCTCATGAGATTACAGATGAGATGTCCCAGCTATGCTCTGCTGATGTATCCTTCCCAGGATGCAATGCTCATGCACAATTACATCAGTTTTGCCGAAGAGAACCAGGAAGTAGAAATACAATACATTTTAAGTAAAATGCAAATATGTTTGTTCCACTAATCAATGTAAGATTATTTCATATCAGTATGCAGAGCTGCATGCTGATGTGATCTTTAGTGAAAAGGGGGTAAAGGTCCACTTGAAAGCTGGACTCCTGGGAAGAAAACAATGAGCCATGCAATGGGGCTTCCCTGCACTGCAAGGGTTAAATGCTCATTTTGTCTAGGGGGAACAGGAAAAACAACTATACTTATTCCTCATTTCCTCAGCAGCTGGAACTCTTCTTTTTATTTCCTTGGGGTTTTTTTTTTGTGGGAATACATCGTTTCCCAAGTTTCCCAATTTTTTCCCAAGGTTTGTTAATTATATTTTGCGGTAAATTACGCAAAGTCTGGTGATTTAAAAATACTTTTATATAACATGGCGAGATGGTGAATCTTAAAGGGAACATATGCGATTTACTTTAGGAGAGCTTTATTCCCCTTTCGATGCTACCTTGTTACACACAGGCAAAAGAACAGTTTGGATAAATTGTTAGTGTAACATTTAGATAAGATGTGAGTTGGGTAAGCAAGGGCACTCATTGGCATGATGGCGACTTTTTTACAGGTACGTGGTCACTAAAAATGCAAATTACATTGCGTTCATCTACGTGAGCATCTGATGCTTGCACAGTAAATGCAAATGCTGTTCAGACTATCCAACATCATTGTTGGGACCTGGGAATTCATCTGGGGTGGGAATTTCTTATTTTTAGGAGATCCCCAGATTCCAGCCACCTCAGGGATTATACTCCGCCCCGGAACCAGTTTCCGAAGAGCACTGGACTACCTGTATGGGTAAATACAGCGCATGTTTGGGGAGAAACAGTCTGTGTGTCAAGGACTTTACATGCAAAGAATTAGGTGGCTGGGCAGCAGTAAATTATATATAGATACATATTCTATTTTGTACCTTTTTTTTTTTTGTACTCTTTGCTTTTCTTCATGAGTGTTCTGAATCTGGTTAGTGGAGATGTGATCCAGCCCCCATGCAGCTCTGCAGCAACAGATCACTTTTATTAGCAATTTTAGCCGATAATTCCATTTTTCCAGATTACTTGGGAAAGTGAACCTACCCTTTAATGCACATTGTGCGTGTTGGAGAGCGCTTCTGCCCGGCTACCACAACACTGGTGGAATGGAGGCAGCACACACGAGCTGTCCTACGTGTGCGTTTATTTGCATGCAGAAGTCAGGGATGGCTTTCATTTTTTTATTTTTTTTTATCATTTCATTTTTTATGATTTGTACTTTTTTCATTTTTGTATTTCACTTAACTTTATTGCTATCACACAGGGGATAAGAAGCAAAACACCTTCCCAGCGCTCGAAACTGCAAGTCCCGGGTGTCGACGATAGGAATTCCACACCCCTGAAAATAGTTTTATTTTTTATGCGAAACATTTCATAAGATTATTTCATATGCCAGTAGAAGAGGGAGTGCCAGGCTCTTGTTCACTTGTTTTTCCAGGCTATACCTACTAACTCTGTCAGGAAAAGCCTGTTGTTTACAGAGTTCAACTGTCAGGGCTAGTTCACACCAAGCGCGGAGCAGATCCAGAGCAGAGCAGGTGCAGACCGGATCAAAACTGCGTCCAATGTATTCCTATGGTATTTTGAGCTCCAGTTCACATCGCAGCGTGCAGATGCAGAGCAGGTAAAAAAACTGCAGCAGGCCCTATTTTACCTGCTCTGGATCTGCTCTGGATATGCAAATGCCTGGAACGCACTGAAAGCCCATGTTAAACAAAAAAAACAAAAATTGTTTTTTTTTTTAGCCAAAAACGCATCTAAAAGACTAGCGTGCGTGTGCAGAAACCTGACCGGATCTGCTCTGCATTTGGTGTAAACAAGGCCTCAATGTGCAAATGTACACACACACGACTGAATAAGTCAGAGTAGTGACCTATCCCCCTCCCTTTGTGTCCTGCTGTATACAGACAGGGGTACAGGGTTTCAGTTAGAGTGTGAGAGTCTAAAGGCAAACAGCTTGAGCAAATTCATAATGGTCTGTGATATGTGTCATGAGTGATTCTTTTATGAAATACTTTTGTGACACAAGGACTTCATATGAATTAAAAAATGTTTCTTATCGTAGAGGCTTTAAATTTGACAAAATCCATTCTAGTTTCCCATGAAAACATCTAAGGCTGATTGTCCTTCATACATGCTGTTTTGGCAGGATCACATGTTGAGAGTGTTTGTAGTCCACCACACAACTCTCACAGATCTTCTTCGTAAACTCTATTGGTAGCCACATAATCTACAAAGCAGAAGCGTTTATTTTCTAAAATAAACACACTTTGGTGATGTGAACTGCAAGCTTTTATGAATAATAAGGGAAATGGGGTATCTTATTGGTCATTTTCTAATATCAGCGAGGAACCAAGCTGTATACACACAGTTTTCCTTGATGTGCCAGGAGTGTGAACTGCGCACGGCCGCCGTCCTTCCTTTTCATATTTTCCATTCGTTATTAATGCCGTTTCAACCAGACGCAATTTGTCAAAGGATCAATGAACCATCTGGCAAGCACTGCTTTGTTTAGAAAGAGATAACAATGGACAAAGCTAGATTATGTGTGCTGAGTAAACTTTTATTGTTTTCTTTGTCAATATTATTCTATTTCCCAGAGAGAGTGTTCCCTTCTTTTATCTAAATTATTGTTGGATACCTGTGTTGTAGATGATTGTTATAGCCTTATGGTGAAAATAAGGTGGACAGTGGGGAGCACAACAGATAATGCTAGGGTGCCAGTATTAAAATGAGTGGGCCAAATAACATCATATTCAGTACATCTCTGTAATAAATGCCGTATTCCATGTATTGTTGCTTTAAAAATGCTGCAGGTACAAAAACACCAGTCGGTCCTGACAAAAATCCACTTCCTGTAGCGAAGTGACCTGCATTGAAATCTCAAGTAGGTGTTGTCAGCCCTGCCTAGTTCTCCTCTGCTGGACTGGATAACACGTCACCCTCTCCTCATCCCCACAACATAAGGGGGATGTGTTCAGTAGTGCAGAACTGAGACAGGGCTGCTCAGAATTTCTGCGCAGCAGAAAGTTAGCCCATTGCAGGAAGCTAGACGCTTACTGGATTTTTGGTAGGCTCAACAGGTACTTCTCTTCAGCTGCATTTCTAAAAAGACAAAACATGGAGAAATGTACATGCAATGAAGAGACATACACTTTAAAGGAGAACTATGAGGGGAGTGACAATCACTCATCCTCATAGTTAGAGCCGATGTGTGAGATTGAAACTGTCACACGTCAGCTCTATGTATTGGGAAGTGAGCGAACACATACCGTCGCTCACTCTCTTCCCGATCATCTCCGTGCAGAGAGCCGTGACTGTCAGTCACCTCTCTCCGCAGGGATTCCCCGCTCCAATCCTCAAGCGCTGACTGGAGGAACAGACGTGAGAGGGGGCGCACAGCTGCCTCGGCCTCTCTAGATAGGCAGAGCCAGCTGTCAATAAGTCAGCTGGGTGGATCTCGACAGTATTGTGGGGATCCCTCCCGACTGCGGCACTCTCAGTTTATTGCGGGCAATAGCCCGCTATATACTGAGCTTTGGGTCACCAGAGGACGTTTGTATATGTCCTCACGTGACCCTAAATAGAACTATGGGATAACAAGGTTACCCCATAGTTCTCTTTTTAAACTGTCAGATTAGAAAATGTAGTCCATTTCCCAACTGCAAAGTGCTGAGATCCTCATGCGTCCTGCTTAACAGTTTACAGAATCCTTGTTTGGTACGCAGCAAGAAGCATGCTAAGTGAAAATCATAGACAGGTTTGTCATTCACAAATACACATAGAAAATCCAACAAGCTTGGGTAGATCTTTTTTCAATAGATATCTATTTTTGTGCAGTCATTTATGAGGACACATCTATGATATATGGTGATTTTCTCTTGTCTCTTCATGTAGGTCTCCTCTGCCTCTTCTGGGAATTCCTCCAATTCTGGGTCATCATCGTCTGCTGCAAGTGGTCTTACTGGCTGGGCAGCATTCGGAGCTAAGACTGCCAATGCAGTGCCAGTAACCTCAAAGCTTGGAAGCTCAGCACCGACTGCCAGTGGTAAACCTCCCAATATAGCTGCAGGTCCGAAATCGTTGGTTTCAACTAGCCTAGCACAGATAAAGTCAAGCTCTACATCTAAACCAGGATCGGGGAGCAGCAACACAAGCTCCTTACCACTAAAGCCACTACCACCACTCGTTCTGGGAAAGACCAGTCTTAGCCGTTCTATGAGTAGTGACAATGTGAGCAAAACAGGTCTGCCTAGTCCAAGCGTTGGTTCATCTGGAAGCAGTATGAGTAGTCAAATGGGCAGTAGTAATGGAGGAGGCAGCTCTGCAGGAAGCAGCGGGAGCTCTAGTAGCAAGGCAGCTGTAGATACCAGCACACAGTCTGGAGCCAAGGGTCCTACTTCTCAAGAATCACAGTTACAAGCCATGAAGCGGCTTCAAATGGTGAAAAAGAAAGCTGCACAGAAGAAATTAAAGAAGTGATTATACTGTATATACTACTGACCATAGAGGTGCTGTGCATAGAATTGCCAGCAGCATTACAGAAGTGCTCAAATATACCACAATGCAGTGTAACGGCCTACTGTGATTATATATTCCTAGTGAATGTATAATGAGAAAGGTTTTGTATCTTGCAGCTCATGTGCAGGTTTTATTTTTTAAAATTGTATGAGAAAAATCTATTGACCTCATTAAGTAAAGTGTCTGAAATATGAACTGCTTGTGCTGCCCCCAAATCAACCAAATAGGAAACTTCTGTGGAAATCGCCATTGGAGATTGAAGGTTTGAATCTGATTTGGAATGAACTAATGCAGACAAAGAAACACATTCTTGGTCACTTCCTTAATGCTAAGACCTCGATGCCTGACTGATCTGTAACAGACATTAAAACCCATTTTTGTATCATCTGTTTTCATCTTATAAATGCGGCTACTAAACTAGACTCCTACAATGCGAGTTCCTTTTTACTTCTGTACTTTTTACCTTTTGCTGTGCTGCTTTATATGTAGATAAAGGAAAACCAGAGTTATGCCTTTAGGAGTAAAATGTTACCTTGTCTCTGACATTGTTCCAGTCCAGAATAAAGTCCTGGAGTTTGAGATGGACACAGTCAGATTTGTCCGTCTCCGTTCCACGTCAAAGTATTTTATTTTGGATGTCTTCTAGCACAGTGGTCCTTAACGTGTGTAACCTCAGGACCCACATTTGTCCTTGGTTATTAAGTCATAACCCAAGTCACACTGCAGTAGAACACACAGCATTGTGGTAATGCGCATTCGGGTGTGGGCACGAGGTGAGATTGGGGTGCCATTCAAATGAATGGCAATGCAATGCACCCCCTGCACCAGAATGCGTGATAGGTGAGATTGCGTGGTACAGTGCGTTAATCGCTCAGGACTGGGCGATTAGCCCACTTTACTAGTGTGAACTGGCCCTCAAAAACACTGACAGCCACACAACCACAGACACAATCTCACAGACAGACATTCTCACAGATGCATATACACGCCAAAAAAATATTTACATTTCTTTTTTTAAGATCCACCCAGTCTCCCTACCTTACGAGAACTGGAGTGGATCCCCAGCCTGGGGTCCAGTGTGTGCTGCTTGTATAGTGTGTGCTGCTTGTACCATATGTGCATTGCTTGTACAGCTGTGTGCCTTTGTAGAGGTGCCGGGAGCCAGCATGTGACATTACTCTGGTCCAGGCACCTCTACAGGACTTGTGAGGGAGCTGTAAGCAATGCACGTATGGATGGAGCTCCCTCAAAGCCATACCCCCAGCCCACCCCACTTTAAGCTGACACTCGGCGCGGGGCAGCATATTTTGAATGGCTGCTTGGTGTGAGAACAGACACTGCTGTGCTAGGGGGAGGCTGGGCAGTCTCTCACCTAGCGCAGTAGAAGGCACGCGTTGACCCACTGAACACAAGGTTGTGACCCACTTTTGGGTTGCAACCCACCAGTTGAGAACCTGTGTTCTAGCACATAGCTTTCACAATTTGTCTACACGTGTAGATCATTTTTGTTTTTGTTTTTTACTTTCTATTTTGACCGATAAACACAATAAAGACAGAAGGTGACATGCAGATCATTGATCTCAAGGGAGAGACCGTGCATATGATCATCTTTGCTAAAGAAGGTCACTGGAACTTTGGCTTTGCATATATACCTATATGTCCATCATTGATGTCGCTCCCTAGAGATCAGACAATCTGTGTGTAAGCTTTTACTCAGCTATGAATACAATACAAATAGAAATGTTTGTTCAGTGTCTATATATCATAGCCTAATTGGTCCGAGGTACTAAATTATTTTGTATTTTTTTTTAATTGGTCAACTTTTTCCCCTTTATGACCAGGAGGCCTATACGGTATTAAGCATTCTGATAATAAGAGTTGAAAAAAATGTATTTCTCCCAAAAATCTATGACATCTTGCTGAAACATGAATCTGAAGCCCGTCAGTCTAATTCTTACCAGCCGCATGTACCTGAATGAAGTACATAGATTGCCATCGATGACCTCCTGCTGCAAATGCTAGTTGTCCAACTGTCTCTATCTTTATAACTGTCAAAGTCACAGACTGGACCAGCAACACGGCCAGGCAAGTAGCATTTTTAAATGGTCTACATATTTCACCCCAGGTTTCCTTTTTACTGCTGACCATGGAGAATAAAAGTAGCCACCCTCCAGAAGGAAGGACAGTGTCAGCACCAATTCAGAGATGATTTGAGGATCTACAGCTGAGTGATGCACAATAATGATACACAAATAAGATACATCTTTGTCAATATTTAGGGTACCAGTCAGTCATTCTTGTGATATACGCACAGACCTCTGCTAGTCAGACCACTCTCGTAATGAATCCAGATCAAACAAATATACAGTGGCAGATAGAGGGTTGAGACAAACCATTTAACACTGGCAGAGGTGATTACATTGGTCAGCTTTTATACATTTATGTGAAACCTTTATCACAATAGGGAAAAAAACAAAGAACTGTTGCTGTAACTGTGTAAAAAGTGTTAGCTGGAGTTTAGATTTAGTTTGTTGGTCAAGTCCATCTAAACATTACTCCTCCATAGGTTGACCAGGCTACTGTCCAAGGGTGACTACATTGTTCCTCCATAGAGTGGAGCCCCCATAAGACAGGAAGTGTGTTACTGGCCGTATAACCAGGTAAAAATAAGGGGGGGGAAGCCTAGAATAGGAAAACTAACGCGGCCAGCACATTTAAGGACTGGTAAGTCAGGTTAAAAAAAGTTTTCTTTAACTCTTGGCGCTAATGGCTGGCAGCTGAACAATCCACTTGCTGTTGCATACTCAAAGTTATCAACAGTTTATCACAGTTTTTCACACAGACTTGAGGGACTGCTCATCCAAGGCTCTGGGGCTTCCACCACGAACATAGAAAACAAAAGGGAACAGAGCGCCACCTCCGTGTGTAAAATCGTTTATTAGGATAAATAAAACGAGATAAAAGTACTCACAAGCACACTTTTTCATCAGGCTTTAACAACAAACAAGAGGCCACACTGTCTGTTAACCCAACATTTGATTGACTTAGCCGTAATTGGTTGTATGTGCTGTGCTTCTTGCTTAGTATTGCTGGGCAGTGATTGTGCTTCGCTGCTGGTGGGCCACAGACAAGAAGGGTGGGTGCATCCTGAATTCCTTTTAGCAGCTTAGCTAGGCTTCTGAATGCACTTTCTGACATCCAGCTAGCCACTAGAGAATCTAAAATCTGTATAAATATACTGCCATGAAACGATGGCACAGCAGAAAAAATACAAATGTGAAAGTTGCAGCAAAAATTTACTGTAGTTAAAATATATCAATCCTAAGGGCTCATTTACACTATTGCATTGCAGTAACGCACAGAACATGCATCAGTGGGTTGCAGTGGCATTCATTTTGAAAAGCACCCAAATGTACTAAGTCAATGCCCCTGTGTGGCAGTGTGCTGAAATGCACAGCAGTACATTGTGTTGCAAGAAAAGGGTTATGCCCATTTGTTTCAATTGGCTGCCTAAACAAAACACATGTTAATGGACAGGTGCACTTTAAAGCAAAGTGCACTTATCCTTTCTGTCCCCCAACCCTGATCTAAAAAGTTCCACCCCCCCCTTCGTAAATCCGTACTTAGCAAGATCCGTCGGGGCTCAGTTCCTCTATTATAAACATTTCAACTCTACAATGCTCCCTCCGCTGGCCACACCTGCACATTACAGCCCTGTAGACTGCTATTGGCCCATCTCCCTGCAGGGAGACAGACCTGGCCAAGAGCAGGAGACTTGCAGCACTGATGTAAACAAACAGCAAAGCAGCAGGCCTCAGATCTAGGTAAGTATAGCTCTGCATTTAGGTCACGGGAGGATGGCGAAAAGAATAAGTGCACTTTGACCAAAAAGTCACTTATTTTTTAACGCACCACGAAAAGATAAATGGGCCCTTAATGTGTCCTCACCGAAAACTGACACATTTATTTATACACCTAAATAGACCTATGTACTCCTATGCATGTATGCACAATGCACAGAGCAATGGTTCTGAACCTTTATTCAGTCATGGCACCCTTTGAAAGTATGCAAAATCTCGAGGCACCTCAGTCTAGAGCCGCAGCTAACGATTATTTTCAAAATCGATTAGTTAGCCGATTATTAGGTTCGATTAATCGGTTAGTCTGATAAAACATAAAATACCTATTTAAAAATGGCTCGTGGAGCCGTTAACAGAGCCAACTAATCGATGATTGAAAAAGTTGACAACTTTTTCAATCATCGATTATAATCGCTTTAGTCGATTATTTGTTGCAGCTCTACCTTTAAAAAAGATCTCCAAAATCCATACCAGACCCTTATCCCAGATGGGGATCTGGTATGGATTTTAAGGCGGGATCACACACAAAAACTAAAGGTGGTATTCCACCCTTCACATCAGGAACGTGACACATGAAGGTGACACTAAAGTAGACACATTGGGAGTCTACTTTACATCAGCGTTCCCCCTTTACATGAGGAGCCCCCTTTACATCAAAGTCGTACCATAACATCTGTGGCAGAGGGCAGGAGGCAGAAAAGGCCTGGACAGAGGTGATTGTCAAACCTTTTCTGAATGGATCCCACCCTCGCTGGATAAGCATCATTCATTTACATGGTGCTGGCAGCATGATGCTATGCAAAAATTGGGAGGCACCCCTGAAAAGGCCAGAAGGCACCCCTGGGTGCCACGGTACACTGGTTGAGAAATGCTGCAATAGAGTAAGCAGGACACCACTGACAATGTATCCAGCACCAGCATTGTGGCATGTAACGCCACTGGGTGGAGCTGCTTTGTTAGGAGGCTGGGAGTACTTGTAGAGGCCCTAACAAGCCAGCTAGCTTCAGCTGGGTTTGTTACCTCCAAGCTTCCAGGCCTCTCAGCACTTCCCCCTAGATGACTACCTTTAGTTTAATGCCTGAACCTGGAATATACATCTCTGCCATCCTGGCTAGACCCAGATGTTTTTATCAGCCTGCTGCCACACATAGCAGAGAATTAAGCCATGGATTTTTGATTAGCAGTTCACATGCATAATATTCACATAAAAACATGGACACAGTGAGCTCCAAATATAGGAATCATTTATTATATATTAAC